AGGCCTAAGCGCCTCTAACAATTTCAGCTGTAAGAAGCGTGCTTGGCTGGGAGGCAGGAGTGGGTCTCGGGAGGGTAACTGACCACAGGCCAGCCCAGCCCCTCTTTGGGCTTTAGTCTCTTGTTCTGTCCATGAGATGGGAGGAGATCCCTGAGGCCTCAGGCACTGACATTTGGGGGTTCACGTGATTAATTTACAAGAAGAAATTGAGACTGAAGCATTGATCGTTTACAGCATGGATAACTCTGAACACAGCTCCCAGGGATTTCCTGCTTTGGAGGTAGGTGCCTGGGATGAAATGAGGAAGAGGGTGTAGGACACAAACAGATGTTTGAACATTTCAGGAGGAGAGATCGTTAGGGCTTAACAGTAACTGGAAACTTTTGTGCTGTCCCCGAGCAGGAGGGGCCTAATAAAAAATGACTTTCCTGAAACGGGAAAACTTTTCTAGGTGAAATTTCAACAAAGGGTCAAAATGTATTCGCTTTTTTGCTGGCTGGAATTGGCAGAGTTCTGTGCCTGCACTAGGCAAACCTGTATCTCCAGGACTGTTGTTGGCCAACTGAAGAGTTCCCATTCTGCTGCCCAGAAATGAATGCCTTTGTTGGGGGTAGGAGCACTGCTGGGGGAAAGAAGGGCAAAATGAACAACTAACTGGCTGTGCCCCCAGCGGCAGGTGAAGGAGCTGCACGAAGGCTGGAGGGGACAGGTGGGTGGGTTATAGATACTGAGGCCCACAGTAGTGGTCCCTCTTCCTTAAGATACTTTACCCAAGTTTTCCTTTTCTTTATGGATTTCTACAAATAGTCCTTAAAATGATCCCAGATCCCAAATCATGTACAGGAGCACTGAGCTATGACAACTCACCACATTCAGCCCCCACCACCTCAGCGCCCTGCTACAGAGCTTTGTGCCTCCAAGTTTAGAGAGGCAGCTCTTTGATAAGAGACGGGCTTAAAAGCAGCCTTTCACAGTTTTATCTAAAAGCAGAAGCTCAGCCTGTATAGGGCTTACAGCAAGGGCTTCTTCGGGTACTCCTGAGATAAAAAGGATTCAGACCAACAGGCTCAGTGCTGGGAAAGGGCAAGCTTGATCTTGAGCTGGTACCTCCAAAGGAGTCAAAGAAAGTCTTAGGGTAAAATGAAGCCAAGAATGCCTTGACTGGTGTGGCTCACTTGGTTGAGCATCGTCCCATGTACCCAGAGGTTGCCAGTTTGATTCTCAGTAGGGGCATATGCCCAGGTTGCAGGCTCCATACCTGGTAGGGGCGTGCAGGAGGCAGCCAATTGTTTCTCTCTCATCGATGTTTCTCTTCTCCCTCTCCTTTCCTCTCTCTTAAATAAATAAAAACATATTTTTAAAAAATGAAGCCCAGAAGGTGGGGAAGGGTGGCCATCTCCCCTAGGAAGCTTGGGGCTAAAACCAGAGAGGGAGAGAGATTCATGAATGGCAGTGGTCCTCCCCTGGTGCGTCCATCTGTTGAAACTATGCAAAGTTATGGATGGGTACATTTATATCTTCAGGTCCACAGCTCTCATCATTCTCAAAAAAGCCCACAACCCGAATATGTTGCATCTCAGGCAAGCCCTGAGAATAAATTTGGACAAAGAGCCAAACAGGAAAATTATTAACACATCTGTTTTATGGGCAGCAAGTTCAAAGCTCAGGAATGCAGGTTTCTTGCCTATATCACAGGAAGGAAGCAACAGTAAAAGGGTATGGGCCCAAGTCTGCCACTCAGCCATTCCTCCTTATCCTGCCTCACAATGAATGCAGCTTACCTTACCAATTTTTTATTTTTAGGTTTGGAAGTATTTTAACTTTGGTTCCTAAAAGGCAAGAACAATCATGAGAATAAGAAGGAAAGATGCAGCCTGAGACAGAAGCTGAACTACAGTGAAAGTTGCCGTTCTGGACCAGCAACAAGTGTACTTGGGAAATTTCTAGAAGCGGAGCAGGGAAGCATAAGCATAAAACTGCCAACCCTTACCACACTAACTGCTGTCGGAAGGAAAAAGGTACCTTTTTGAGTTACAGTTGTGTTCTCCGAGTTCCTGTGTCCCTCCCAGAGCTTCCCAGAACCGCAACCCAGCTGCCGCCAGCTTCGCTGCTGCCGGTGAAGGAGTGAGCCCAGTGGAGGGCCCCGTGGGCAAGAGGTGCATGGTGTGGAGGTTACAGGAGCTGATGACCCCATGATATCTGGCAACAAAGGAATTTCTGCCTTTCCTGAATCAGACCACCTTTTCAAATGGGTGAGGACTATTCATGGAGCAGCTGGCACTCTCTATGAAGACATGAGGTCCCAGCTCTCCCTAGAGCTCCCCAGTGGCCACCCTTCCAACACACCTGTGGCAAAGTTCCTACCCCTGCTACCACGCTGATGCGGACACCCCAGGTAACATCTGCCTGCACATCCCGAAGGATCTGTGGTCTGCCCTGTACGACATCAGGACCATCCTGCTCCCCGTCCAGGGCCTGCCAGGAGAACCCAACATGGACAGCCTGTTGAACACACATATGGCCAAGAACCTCACAGCCTGTAAGTACCTGCAAGAAACCTATGCAAAGCAGGACTCCAGTCAAGAGCCCTGAGCTTGCTGTCCAGTCTCTCTCCTTGTGCTTTCTAAAATAAACATTATTGTAAATATTTTATTGATTTTAGAGAGGGAGAAACATTCATATTATTCCACTTATTCATGCATTCATTGGTTGATTCTTGTATGTGCCCTGACCGAGGATAGAACCCACAACCCTGGCATATCGGGAGGATGCTCTAAGCCAGCCGTGGGCAAACTACGGCCTGCGGGCCGGATCCGGCCCGTTTGAAATGAATAAAACTAAAAAAAAAAAAGACCGTACCCTTTTATGTAATGATGTTTACTTTGAATTTATATTAGTTCACACAAACACTCCATCCATGCTTTTGTTCCGGCCCTCCGGTCCAGTTTAAGAACCCATTGTGGCCCTGGAGTCAAAAAGTTTGCCCACCCCTGCTAAGCCAAGCATGTCAAACTCACAGCCTGCAGGCTGCATGTGGCCCACAATGAATATTTTTGCGGCCCAGCCAATATAATGGTATGCAAGAAACATTTTAATAAAAACCTCATAGCTTAATTTTTACAACATCCTGTTATACATAATTATTAATGAGCTACGTTTGCTAATGACTGATTAGTATAATCATTTTGCATTCATTTCCCTTATGCACCTTATGCACAGGCACACCATTTTTCTTCACTAATACTAGCTGGGAATGTTTTAGCAGCTGATTGCCACATCATTAGTCTTGTACTGACTTGTTTGGTGTCCACAACAGGAAATATTTTGCTTTCGGAGAACAAAATAGGTTTATTTGCGTTATGCTTATTAATTTGTGCAGTTATTCAATGTCTGCTAAGTTAATGTTCAAGAAAAAATATTTTGCCCTGGCCGGTTTGGCTCAGTGGATAGTGTCGGCCTGTGGACTGAAGGGTCCTGGATTCGATTCCGGTCAAGGGCACGTGCCTGGGTTGTGGGCTTGATCCCCAGTGTGGGGCGTGCAGGAGGCAGCTGATCCATGATTCTCTCATCATTGATGTTTCTATCTCCCTCTCCCTTCCTCTCTGAAATCAATACAGATACCTTAAAAAAAATATGTATTTTTATTAAAATGTGCTATTATTTTGTTAATGATTACTCATTTATTTCAGCCCTTTGTATTCAGCATGTCTCTATCAAAATAAACCTACATTTCTATGAAAATTGAAGCTTGTTTTTTTGCAGCCCACATAAACCTTATTTGGCCCGTGTTAGCCTGAGTTTGAAATGCTTGCTCTAACCCAGTGGTTCTCAACCTTCCTAATGCCTTGACCCTTTAATACAGTTCCTCATGTTGTGGCGACCCCCAACCATAAAATTATTTTCGTTGCTACTTCATAACTGTAATTTTGCTGTTATGAATCATAATGTAAATATCTGATATGCAGGATGTATTTTGTTACAAATTGAACATAAAGCATAGTGATTAATCACAAAAACAATATGTAATTATATACGTGTTTTCCAATGGTCTTAGGCAACCCCTGTGAAAGGGTCATTCGACCCCCAAAGGGGTCGCCACCCACAGGTTGAGAACCACTGCTCTAACCAATTGAGCTACCTGGCCAGGACCTGTGCTTTTTCCTTTTTCCTCAGATTTTCTGTCCTTGACTTATTTCTGTATAGGACTCCATCTTTAGCTGTGGTGTCATATTTGTTGTAGCCCCAGTGATGAATATATTTAGTACATTTTGTTAAAAAAATAAAACTTTTCTACCAAAATATATATTCAAAGGCTCCAGGAGTAAACTTTTTCCATAAAAGGCCAGAGAGTAAATATTTTAGGCTTTATGGGGCATATATGGTTAATAACCAGTTAGCAATCTGGTACAAATAGCCAGGGTGTTGCCCCAGCTCTAGAGGTCAAGGGGTCACCTCACCCCTCCTTTTATAGCTGACTTCCCCTCAGGCTAACTAAGGAAGGCCTGCCTTAGGAGAAAAGGCAGTACAGTGTAACTTTAAGAACATAAACTATAGTGCCAGACTCCACCATTTCACTATCTATATAATTTTGGCCAAATTGTTAACCCTCCCTGTGCCTGTGTCCTCATCTGCAAAATGAGTGTAATAATATTTCAAAGGTAGTTGTGAGGTTTAAAAGCTCATTTGTGTAAAGGACTAAGAAGAGTGCCTGACACATAGAAATTACAACATAGTTAGGTTTTATTATTGTTAGAGGATCAGAGGGAGGGGAACCAACATTCCCCACAGTCCATGCCACCCACAGCTGGCCAGCCTGCAAGAGTAGCTGCAGCTACTTTCTTGTAGATTATACTGTAGAACAAGGGGTGAGCCCTACTCCTTCACCAAATCCCCAGACTAGCCAACACGGTTCAGGGCTCTTCTGGGGAAGGGAGTTCATTAACTTGAAGATTAGCAAGTCACACCAAGGACTCTGCTCACAAAAATGCAAAATCACAACATGGCAGCCCATAAGAAGTTTATTGTGTCCTCAAGACACTACACAATGCAGACTCCTCTCCCAGAGAAGGGTCTTTCAGAGACCGGGAACCATCCTCCAGATGAGCTGCTCATTGGTCATTTTCATAGGTGGCTGGATTCTTCCTCCTGGATTTCTCAAACTCCTCAGTCCCCCATGTGTAGACAAGATAAAATGCGACAAATGCTTTAAAAATCAAAAGTGAGAGAAAAAGCAGTGAGCACATAGGAGACAACGGAGTCCCCATCCTCTTTTCTGCATCACAACAGATTCTACCCTCCTGTTTCTAGTTTCCAACAAACTCTTTTAAACCAGACGGCCCAGCAGGGTGACGCCAGCCCTGGCCGGTGGCTCGGGAGGGGGGGCGCGGTCCCCGGACCCCCAAAGGGTGCGGTGGGAGTCCCGGTCGGGTCACCTATAGGAGGCAACCGATCGATGTTTCCCACATCGATATTTCTTTCTCTCCCTCCCTAAAAATCAATGAACACATCATCAGGTGAGGATTTAAACAAAAGAAGGGTGACATTACATACCCATTTGATAAGTGACCAAAAGGGTCTACCTGAGAAACTGTCACCAAACCTTCCCCATCTCTTCCCTGCAGCACATTTAAAACTTTTAATGAAATAATGGAAATAAAATTAACAGCATAAACTTCACCATTTAACCAAACTCGCAATGTTGTGCAACTATCCTATCTGCTTCACTGTAACACAAAGCAGTTGCCGCCAAGCAAGTAGCGGGCGAAGTGACCTCAGAGGAAGACGGAGTCACACAAGTGACCTTGGGCCGCCCATTCAAGTTCTCTGTGACTTAGGTTCCTCGTCCGTAAAAGGAGACGAGGAGACAGTTGAGGGGCCTTGCGGTATTTTCAATGAGAAGAACGGGTGTGCATGGCGAGTTGCAGGGCGCCTGGCACGGAGTCCGCCCTCGCCCCCCGCCCGGGCCGGGGCACTCACGCGGCGCGACGCGCAGGATGGAGGCCTGGATGCGGCGCAGCACGTTGGGGATGCCCTTGCTGAAGTAGTGCGGGAAGGCGCGCTGCTCGAAGGGCGACAAGCTGTAGGTGATCACGTGCCGCACCCGGGTCAGCTTCCCAAACTCGCGGCCCATGGTGGCGGCGGCACCTGCGGGGCCGAACGGGACAGGCGCCGGGCTCAGTCTCGGGCCGCGCCGCCCGCACCCCGCAGACCCTCCCGGCGCTCCTCGTCCTCCCCCGCCCAGGCGGCGCCCCCACCCTCCCAGCGGCCACCAGGACCCCGCCACCGGGTCCCACTCCCGCACCGGGGTCACCTCGCCTTCCACAGTCGCGGGATCCACCGGCCTCCGTCCGCCACTTCCGGCAGGACCGGAAGCCGGTCTAGGAGGCCTTGACGTCACTTCCGGGGAGTACCATTTTCCCGC